GCTGCCATACAAAACGCCATAGATCAGGCAGCTTAAACAACAGACACTTATTTTCTCATCATTCTGGAGGCTGGACTTCTGAGATGGGGTTGCCCTCACGGTCGGGTTCTGGGGAGGACCCTCTCCCTGGGTCGGACGGCCACATTCTTGCTGGGTCCTCACAGAGCGCTGAGACGGAGTAAGCTCCCTAGAATCTTTTCTTACAAGGACACCCATATCATCGTGAGGATCTCACCCCCACGACCCCATCTAACCTGAATCACCTCCCAAAGGCCACATCCCCGCACACCATCATATTGGAGGGTAGGGCTTCAACACCTGAATCTGGGGCACCACCAGCGTTAGGTCCGTAGCACACAGCCTTTGGAGCTGGGAGCCCACCCAGCCAGGGTCAGCCTGACCCAGCCCTCTGACTTGTCAGAACCCTCAGTGGTTCTGTCCCTCAGTCGTGACTGCCCACCTCGGTCATTCACCCTTCAGCTGGTCACTCAGAAAAGATATTCCAGGGTTTGGGGAACCCACCCCAGGCCTCTGCCTGGACAACCTACACGACAGCGTCTCCAGGATCTAGGCAGAAAATCGGATCACTAAAATCGAACTGAGAAGAATGCAGTTAGGAGCTGAAGTGGCACGTGGGGCAGGCGCAGGGCTCTGGTCTGCAGGGACCTCCAGGGAGCACTCGAGGAGAAGAGGCTCAGTGCTCCTCCCCTCGGTGATCTGCGTCCCCCTGAGGACAGGGGCTTCTCTGCCTTGTTTCTCAGTCTATCCCCAGCGTTTAGGACAGTGCTTCATATTTTTCTTTGAATGAACAAATAAGTGAATGAGGAAATGAATAAAAAACTCCTTTTACATATACGATGGAACACTTCTCACCCATAAAAAAAAATGCCGTTTGCAGGAACACAGATGGAACCAAAGATTGTCATTCTAAGTGAAGTAAGCAAGAAAGAGAAAGAAAAATATCATATGTTATCACTAATGTGGCATCTAAAAAAAAGGACACAAGTGAATTTATTTCCAAAACAGAAACAGACTCACTGACGTAGAAGACAAACTTATGGTTACAAAGGAGGAAAGGAGATGGGAAGGGATAAATTTAGAGTTCAAGATTTGCAGATACTACTATATATAAAACAGATAAACAACAAGTTTATACTGTAGAGCACAGGGAACTATGTACAATATCTTGTAGTAACCTATAATGAGAAATAATCTGAAAAGGAATAAATGTATGTATATGTATGACTGAAACAGTATGCTGTACGCCAGAAATTGACACAATGTTGTAAACTGACTCTATTTCAATAAAAGAAAAAAATGTATCTCAAAACAAACAAACAAGCTTATGGTTATGGAGGGGAGGGGTAGGGAGGGATAAATTGGGTGTTTGACATTTGTAGATACTCACTACTGTATATAAAATAGGTAAACAACAAGATCTGACTGTACAGTACAGAGAACTATATTCAGAATCTTATAATAGCCTATAATGAAAAAGAATATGAAAAGGAATAATATGCATAAATAAATCACTTTGCTGTACACCAGAAATTAACACAACCTTGTAAATCAACTATACTTCAATCCAAAAAAAATTTCTTTTACAGCAGTATTTTTCAGGTGCACTGTGGGTGGGGCTACTTACATCAGAATTATTTGGAGAGTTTGTTAAAAAGCAGAGTCTTGGACCCCACCCCTGCACTACTGAGTCAGAGTCTCTGAAGCTGAGGCCCAGAATTCTGCATTTTTAATGATATTTGGGGACATTTTCATACACGATAAAACTGGAGAATTCCAGAGTTTCATTTTTGGTTCCTAGAAAGGTATGTTCCTTTTCTCATACAGTAAGAAGTATTTTCCACTTTTGCCTTCTTGGCCAAAAGCCTGGAACTTAGAGTAAAGCCTGGGTGTGGAACTTTCATTAGCAGGTTTTCTTACCGCTTTTAGGTTTCTTTCCCTGGCTGACTCTAACTCATCCTTCAGGACTTAGTGCAGGAGACATCTTTGCCAGGGAGCTTTTTCAGGAGCCTCCCCCTGCCCTCAGGCTTGTCTCAGGGCCCTTCCCCCAGCACCCGTCAGACTATACCAAGAAGATCCGGTCTGGCTCCCCACTTGACTGCCCTGGCTTCACTCATCTGTGGCCTCCCACACTTGCTAAAGGAACTAAACTCCCTTCCACTGCTGTTTCGGTTTTGATCAAGTCATATCTTGATAACTTTTTTTCTAAGTCCCTTCAAGTATTTTTTAAGTAGGACATACATCATTAATAAATACGGAGTATCTGCATCAAAGTGCGCTTGAGAATGAGAAATGCAGATGAGTGGGCTCAGCGTTTGTTCTTTGATTTGTTTTTCTATTTATCTTGACTTTCCAGATTCACAGTTGGTGATGTGCCGGCCAACTAAGTCCTCAACACCAATGAAACTAGGGAATACAAAGGTCCAATGGTTTGGGGGAAATAGCAAATTAGAACAAGGAAAGATGTTAGTAGGAGCAACTTCAGTGGCAAGGTATGTGGGTAGTGCCAAAAATAAGCAAAAATTGAGAGGATTTGTATCAGATAGGAGAGAGGAGGGGAGGCTGGGAGGTGATTTTTTAAAATTAAAATAGTATATTTTTCCTGTTACAAAAACGGTATGTGTTTATTGGGAAACAATTTTAAATGCATATAAACAAAACGAAATTATTCCACATTTAAATCCTTCCAGATCTTTTTCTGTGCATATTAGCTAGCAGTATTTCTCCTACCTCCACTTGTGGTACTAGCCCTTGGTATCACTCTCTTGCCAATAGGCTGTAGGTACAAAAGTCACAGGTCACAAAGTCAGTTACAGAAAAATGGTAATTTACCCTATTTTTCTATTATAGCATCAATTTTGAATTTCAATCTTGGTGGTGGTAAACTGAATACAGTCACTTACAAATACAGCCTGTCATCGTCAGGTCAGTGATTTCACAGTCTCTCAGGATTAACTTTCAGGGTCCCTCCCCAGTTTCCCCCTACATCCCCCAGGCTTCTTTCAGATTGCCTTGGGAATGCCAGAGTTGGTGGAAGTGTGGGGTGGTCTCTAAAATGCTACTCGGGTCCTTGGGCCCTTAGGAGATCAAAAGCAAAGAATTAAACTCTTTGTATTTCTCTTTGCATTTAATTGAGTCCTCCTTTTCCTAGACCAAAGAGTAGCCTGATTTGCTAGTTAAGGGGTCTTTAGATGGGTATGTAAACAGGGTCCACAGCCCCCAAATCCACCTATTTTTAGGCTTTCATCTAGTATCCTGCCACACATGTTCACAATAATTTCAGTAACAATGAAACTGACTCCACTGGGGGAAGGGTGAATGTGGTGAGACACTGCGGGTCCCCTGGATTGAGAATTGCAAGTCCAAGGCCCCGGTCTTTGTTCTTTCATGAACAAGATTCTCTGCACTTGGTTGCTTTATCTGTGAAACAGCAGGCTGACTAGATGCTCTGCAAAGCCCCAGAGCTCGTGTTCTATGAGCCTATGAGATTCTTGTGGGGACAGGTTCATTTCAAAGTTTTCAGTGGAGACCAGCCTTCTAAAAATTTTTAATCAGCTTCTTTTTAAAATTACTTAAATTCTTATTTTTTATTGAAGTGTTTTACAATGTTAAATTTGCAATGTTAATTCTAGGTGCACAGCAAAGCAATTCAGTTATACATATACATACATACATATATATGTATTTTTTTCAGATTCTTTTCCATTATAGCTCATTGCAAGAAATTGAATATAGTTCCCTGTGCTATACAGTAGGTCCTTGTTGTTTATCTATTTTATATATAGTAGTTAGTATCTGTAAATCTCGGAATCCCACTTTATCCCTCCCCACCCCTTCTTCCCCCCTGGTAATCAGTTTGTTTTCTATGTCCATGAGTCTATTTCTGGTTTGTAAATAAAATTTGTATATATATTTTTAGATTCCACATACAAGAGACATCATATGATATTGCAGATCTCAGCTTCTAAAGACAGGAACTGCTACAAACCACCCAGCCTGGTCCTCAAGCCCGTCCTTCATGGCTGAGATCCAGAAACGCAGGCAGGTCTTTCCAGCCATGGTGAACCCTGGTGGAGGACTTCCAGAATTGCCAACAGCTGAGTAATACGGAGTTGAAATAGGGCAGCCATTAATGTAGGGGCTGGAGAAGCGTGACAGTTGTGGAATTGGGGCAGGAGGAAGGAAATAAACAGGCAAGTATACAGAGGAGAAAGATGAAGTGTTTCCTTTGCTGTGAAGCAGCAGGCGCAGAGCTTATCTGAAGCCAGGAACGAAAAAGTCTTCAAATCTACAGTGATGATCATTCCAGCTCCAACCACACAGGGACTTTGTCACTGGTTTCTCAGTACCCATAGGTCAGCAGCAACTCCACTACCCAGAAGAGGTCCATTACTTATACATCTCATTGGGAGGTTTTCTTTTCATGAAAAATGACATCCCTTATAGTAGATTAGATCATCATTCCCAGTTCTTTCTGCTTTCTCTGAAGGACATGAATTACACCCATGCCCTGTGACTTGGCACTTTCTTCCACTCACATAGGCAGCATGTACTCCCCTGCCTTACTGATCTTGGGCCAGGCCATGTAGGACTTTCTCTGACTGAAAAAACTATGGGTGGAACAGACAGTGTGGGTAAAGGTCCATAAGAGCCATCTCACAGCCTGGCTCGCCACCTTGTGTTCCTGGGATCTGACATTACTGTGATCTGAGATCACGAGCCCCGTAATGTGAAGCAGATCTCAACCAGATCAGCAACCTGGAATCCAGCCCAGCTCAGCCTGGATCAGCCAGTTCTCAGCTGACCGACAGACCTACGAGTGAGCGTGAACATAAACTGTTATGATTATAGACTACAGGGAGGGGGCTGGGTTTTTTTACATAGCATCAGTGCAGCAATAGCTGGCTAGTATCTCTCTTAAGAGTCTTCATCCACAAATTGCAAACCTGAAGAGAAAAAGTTAGAGAAGAAAATAAAGGGCGGAGGGTATAGTTCAGTGGCAGGGCGCGTGCTTGGTATGCACGAGGTCCTGGGTTCAATCCCCAGTACTTCCATGAAAATAAATAAATAAACCTAATTACCTCTCCCCTCAAAAAAAACCCAATATGTAAATAAATAATTTTAGAAAGAAAAGAAGAGCTGCTTTTGGCAAAGCTTCGGCAGTCACACCATCCTGTTGACAGTTGCGATAAGGCTCGTGAAGATAGGGCTGTTCACACTTAACTGACCACTGTCATCTTCCTCCCCCAACCTGCAGGCACCAGTGTTCAGTCCAGAGCCAGCAAATACATACATATGTGATTGAGTCATGCTGTGCAATCACCCACGGCCTTCCTGGATTTCTCCGTCCCTGGAAGTTGTGCTGGAAACACTGTTCATGGCAGTGTTGATTGGAGAGGAAGTATCTTGGTAGCATCTCCAGCATCTTAGCTGTCCTCACGGCCTTTATCACATTATATTTGGAGTATAAAATTTAGCCGGTCTCTTCCTGCCCTAAATGACCACGTGTTTCCAGAGAGCAGAATTCTTGTCGGAGTCAACTTTACGAATTCCTCCTCCTCAAAACTCTGCCCAAGAGCCTAAAACCAATTAGTGCATGTTGAATGAACAAAGGATTTCGAGAAAGAATCTAAAAACGGTCCTTATTCAAATGGGATTTAAAAAAAAAATCTCTTCTTTGCACATGGACACCTGCGTTTGTAAATCGTCACAAGTTACTGAATCAGAAACAAAATCAGTCTTACCGTCTCCTGGGTAGGAATTTAATCCGTGAGCCCTTTCAAAGGAGAACAGTCACTGGAACGACCCCCAGTCACACCCTGCCTGTATTCTCCTCCGCTGGTGGAGTTATTTTTTGCCGTTGCATAAACCTGTCCGACCTCTCTCTTGAGGGTCCTTTGCAAAACACGTTCCTTCTTTAAAAAAAAAAAAATCATCTTTCTCCAAAAACCTAATAAGTAAGATAATTGATTTAAAACACAGCAAGAATATGCTAACAATAGGGAATCATATGAAATTCTCACCATTCTTAAAGTCACCAAACTGCAGTATTCCCCAGTGGTGAAAGGCTCAGAAAGGAGTTAGGAAATGATTTTGGACAGTGTGTGTCATTCTGATACTAGATAATTATCAATGTGTTCACTTATGGGTCCTTTTTCTTTAAAAAAATGTATTTTTAAAAAAGTGCCTTATACTGTGATAAACAATAAAACACTATGATCATAAAATAATAATCATCATCATCAAACACAGTGGAATGGGTGGGTTGGTGTATGAATACCTGCAGAGGGGAGATTCTCCCTGCCTTGTTGGGGCACACATGGCACTCTGGTGGGGCTTTGGCAGGAGGGAAGTGCATTTTCTTTTTCTTTTTTTGCCTTGTTTTATTGTTATTATTGTATTTGGGGGAGTCTGTTTTCGATAGCTGCAGAACACTACTAAAAACCTTCTCAAAAAGGGAACCCTCCTGTGCTATTGGTGGGAAAGTAATTTGATGCAGCCGTTATGGAAAACAGTATGGAGATTCCGTTAAAAACTAAAAATAGACTTATCATATGATCCAGCAATCTCATTCGTGGGCATATATCTGGAAGAAAATCTAATTTGAAAAAATACATGCACCAGAATTTTTATAGCAGCACTATTTACAATATCCAGGACATGGAAATAGCCTAAATCTCCACTGACAGATGAATGAATAAAGAAGTTGTGCACAGAGAAAAAAAAAAAGAAATGCCAGAAAAAAAAATTAGTTGAATGAATAAAAGTTACCCTAGACTGAAAAAAAAAAAAGAAGTTGTGGTATATATATATACACACACACATATATATATAAAATAAATACTACTCAGCCATAAAAAAGAATAAAATAATGCCATTTGCAGCAACATGGATGGACCTGGAGATTGTCATTCTAAGTGAAGTTAGCCAGAAACAGAAAGAAAAATACTATATAATATCATTCATATGTGGAATCTTAAAAAAAGAAGACACAAGTGAACTTATTTACAAAACAGAAACAGACTCAGACATAGAAAACAAACTTACGGTTACCTGGGGGGAAAGGGGTTGGGAAGGGATAAATTGGGAGTTCAAGATTTGCAGATACTAACTATTATATATAAAATAGATAAACAACAAGGTCCTATTGTATAGCACAGGGAACTCTATTCAATATCTTTTAGTAACCTATAATAGAAAAGACTATGAAAACGAATATATATGTATGTATGTACATGTTTGACTGAAACATTATACTGTACACCAGAAATTGACACAACATTGTAAACTGACTATACTTCAGTGAAAAAAATTTTTTTAAATAAAAATAAAAAACCTCTTCTTTGACCATCTTTAAGAATGGAGAATTATTCTGGCCAGGAACAGAGTGAGAGAAAACTCACTGTCTTCACATACAAACATTAGCATGCTGAAAAACCAGTGAGAGAAAAAATGTGCTTGCATCTGTATGGAAAACTGGCAGGACAGGCTCCAGGAATGAAAAGTTACCTCTGAAGAGGGACAGTGAAAACTGGGTTGGAATGGGGGTGGGGGGTGAGGAGGAGGAGGGGAAGTAAAGATCTCCTTTAATGCACTTCGATGCTACTGGGAAAAATGTAATATGTGTATTACCTTCTTCATATGAAAAACCAGAAACAAAAAGATGTTGGGAAAAGGAGATCTACAATTATGGAATGCCTTTCAGGCTGGTGATACCTGCAGGGAAGACAGACAACCCAGTGGGAAAGCTTGGGTTTTTAAGAGAAATTGTATATCAGAATAGGATTCTCTAGTCAGCAAAGATGGCAGGAGGAGTTAAAAAAGAGGAAGTGTTTTCGAGTTCAATGCCCAGGAAATGAAGTTTTCTTCTAGCAGCTTCTGTGGACAGAATCCAGAGATGCTACTAAGTCTGCACATGGATGGCTGCAAAAACATCTTTTATAAAAGGTGGGCTGAGAGTGGGGAAAGGCATCAGACATGGAACTTTAAAAAGCCTTGCTTATTCGGTGACCAGAAAAGACTGTGAATGGGGCTAGAGGGAAGAGTTGGAGAAAAGACAGGGAATGGTGACTGGAATACAGTTCTAAGCTCAGACTAAAGCAGAGGCTCTCACCAGGGGCATGTTTCTCCCCAGGGACATTTGGCAACGTCTAGAGACGTTTTTGGTTGTCGCAACCTGGTAGTGCTAGTGGCATCTAGTGGGTAGACATCCTGCCACACACAAGCCAGCCCCTCCCTCCAACAAAGAATTATCCAGCCACCCTAAATGTCAACAGCACTGATGCTGAGAACCCTGTGCTAAACTAAAGTGAAAAGTGATATTTATTGAGACGTTAACACCTCCCACCAGGTGTGCTTTATAGTTTACAAGGTGTTTTTACAGCCATTTGCTCCTCATCCCAAAGCCTGAGGGAGGGAGGCAGGCAGGCATCCTATTTCCCTGGGGCAGCCCAGGAAGCAAAAGTCCAGGGACTGAGCCAAGGCCACACGGCTTGGAATCCAAGTCTTGGGTCCCGGCTCCATGCTCTGCTGATTCTCGTGGAACCCACGTGACAAACACACACCTCTTTGAACCAAATGTCTGAGTGAAGACGTGCTAAACTCCAGGAAAGGGGGTTCTACTGAAACACAAAGTAGGAGGGCCCCAATTCTAAGATGGAGTGATTGGAAGAAACCGATGGAAAATTATTCAAGTGTCAGTGAAATAGCTAGAGTTTTCTCCTTGATGGCGGCTCTTGGTCACCTTTGTTGTACACCTGCAGGAGGGATTCTTGATGTATAGAGATCTGAAAGTGCTTGCCTTGCTCAGGGAAAGGCAATCTCACATGGTTAGAAAGTGGAGCCTGTAAAGAGATGTCTGGTGGGCAATACGGTTGGAGAAGAAGCAGGGTCAAGGGCCTGGAGACTGAGAAGGGAACTGGGTTCAATCCTCAGTACCTCCATTAAAAAAATAATAAATTAAATAAAAACCTAATTATCTGCCCTCCCTAAAAAAAAGACTGATTAAAAAATAAATTAATTAATTAAAAAAATAAGATAAATTGTTTTAAAAAGTAAAAATAAAATAAAAGTATTGCACTTGATGCTGGTGGGTTTTCACTGAGGACCGGGTACTTTGCTACAATTTGGGTGAAACAATTTACTGAGAGGTTGGAGGCGGATGAAAATAGCATCTCACATGGCTGCCCATGTGGGTGCCTCATGAAGTACATCGTGGTGAAGTCATAGCACAAACACTCACATGACCAGCCATCATCTGACACTAACCCAAATAGGTTTATTACTACAATTCTAAATTCAAATCAACCGAAATAGGCTACTGTGTGTTCCTAGGGTATCTAGTGTCATTTACACTTGCTGACTCTGGAATGGAGATTGTCATCCTCAAAGGCTTTAGAAAGGAAAGCCCTAATTTACTTACAGCACCATGCTGGGTACTACGGCAAGTAAGTTGCTGTCTTTTCCTCTTACAATTCATATATTAATATGACATTTTAATATTTCTCAGGTGATGCATGCTCACTGTAGAAACATTAGAAGACGCAAATAAGCTGATGGCAGAAAATAAAAGTGTCGCCCACTATTTCTTTCCAGAGGTATTTTTTTCAAATTAATAAAGATAAATTATCACTTTCCCAAAGAATAATTCTGAAGTCACACTTGTGTTTTCCTGTCTAAAAATTAAAATTTTCCGAATGCAAATTGGTGCAGCCACTATGGAGAACAGTATGGAGGTTCCTTAAAAAAATGAAAATAGACTTACCATATGATCCAGCAATCCTACTTCTGGGCATATATTTGGAGAAAAATATAATTCAAAAAGACGCATGCACCCCAGTGTTCTTAGCAGCACTATTTACAACAGCCAAGACATGGAAGCAACCTAAATGTCCATCAACAGATGACTGGATAAAGAAGATGTGTGTGTGTATGTGTACACACACACACAACAGAATACTACTCAGCCATAAAAGAGAATAAAATAATGCCACTTACAGCAACATGGATGGGCCTGGAGATTGTCATTCTAAGTGAAGTAAGCCAGAAACAGAAA